TGAGGCATAAACAACCAATTATGGCGTCACATCACCAACACTTCCACAGGACAGCTCTGGACCGCTACAGCTGTTTTAACAACATCTGCTGAGACTGAAAATCTGCCACAAATACACATCTCGATGATCAATGAACACAAATGTTGGTTTTCTTGATGAATTCAGTCGTTGTCCTATCTTAAAAAGGTAAATGTTCATTTATTTCCATTCATGGTTGTGACAGGAAAAGCATATGTAAGGTCACGTGATCATATTTGACCAAAAGCAGCAGCCTCAAAATGCCTCAATTATTATGTTTATTGGCCTTCATGATGTGCACTGAAGAGCTGACGGGGAAGCAAAGAGAAAGAGCCTCAGGTCAGAGCTGCTAAACTGGAATCTCATCCATAAATCAGCGTCAAACCAACAACCTGCCGCTGACAGCAGCTTATGAAACAGGCTTACCTCCTCCACCCTTTGGTGGCTTGACAGCAGGTTTGTCAGGTTTGGTGGTTGGTCCTGTAAATACAAATGCATCATGGGAACCAATAATAATATATACGATAAACAAAGCAGATGGATTAAAGTCTATGTGGGCAAAGGCCCACCTGTTAGCACAGTAGCTACACGTCTACCATGCTCTGATAGCACCACGTTAGCATTGAGCCACACACACAGGAGTCAATCAGCCAGACTCAACATTAATGACCTACAGACTGAGTCTACAGCTGACAGCTCAGAGCAGGCGGGGTCAGTCAGCTCGAGCACCGATGAACTCGCTCCACTCGCTCACGCTTCCCAGGACTCACCATTACCAGCACTAACAAAACTGGAGCGACTGATGGGAATGATCCATGTCTTTACCTGGATTGACAGCGTCTCCCAGATCGAATCCGTTGGAATCTGTGATATAAAAAAGAAAATACTTCAAACACTGTAAGTGACGATTCATTTACCTTCAAATACACTCACACACAAAACAAACGTGTAAAATCCATCTTAGCATCAGTGTCCTTGCACCACAGGATGTATGAAGTCAGCACGCAGACCTACCAGAGCCTCCAGGACTTGGTTTCTTGGGTTTCTCTGGCTGTGAATCGCCTGTGGAAAAGATTTATTTAAACAAAAACATTTGGTGGACAGTCCAAGCATGGCTAACGATGAGCTGTTTTATGATTCTTAACTGTTTTGCATTTGTAGAAGTAAAAATCAGACATGAGATTAAAAAAGGACAAAAATATTACGCAGAACAAATTCTGACACTCAGCAGAAGAAAATCAGTAAAATCAGACGTCAGCGTGTCTACCTGGTCCGAATGCATCCCAGAGGTCTAGGTCACCTGAAGGAGAAACACATGGATTAGTCTGCTAGCTCGTCCACGTGTGTGGCTTCAAAACAGGAAGCTGTGCAGCATCAACTAGGACATGAGTTTAAATCTATATTTATACAGTCTTACATTCTTATTATGAAGCAGTTTCTGCCAAAACCACAGGAAGAGCATGAAAAACATCAAGTTTGATTCATCGAGTTGGATTTACACAGACGATATGTTACAATGAATACACCTGTAATGTCATATATACATATATACACTGACATATTGTGTTCAAGACAATGGGACAGACTAACACAGATCATCATATGTGTAATAATCATCATTGTAAACAAAAGGCCACTGATGGCGTGCTACAAACCATCCTTCTTGGGCTGCTCTGGTGTCTTTGGCTTCTCTTTGGGTTTCTGGGGTGTCGGGTCTAAAGAAACAGAAAGAGATGAGTGAATGAAACCTTTAAAAAACAATGCTAG